ATCATGGAAAAGTGTCAAACAGACACTAGTAGCTTCCTCCACTATGGCAGCAGAATTTATAGCTTGCTATGAGGCATCCAATCAGGGAATATGGCTGCGAAACTTTGTCACGGGACTGCGCATTTTGGAAAATGTTGAAAGACCACTAAGGTTATATTGTGATAATAAATCTGCAGTAATGTATTCTAATAACACTTCCGCATAAATCATAATCATCACTATCTCAAAATAATTGAAAACTCCCCCATTAACTCAAGGATGCTTTGCTTAGATTAGGATCCTAGAAGTTATCAAGTGAATGTGACAAAGGCGTGGTCAATAAAACAAATAGTTAACCAAAGATAAGATCGACTTCGGTCTTTGGGCTATAAATTAAAAAGATACGGGGATATGTTTTCTATTGCATCATGGTACTAACTTTCTTTAATGACGTCAAAGCAAATCACATTTCTTTTCATTTGATATATTATTTAATAATATTTTTAATTAATAATATTGAACATATTAATAGTATATCAAAAATATTATAAATATTATATTTTAATGAGGAGCCATGTGTTGGATTTAATCTAATAAATCTATTTGTGGGCACATATGATTAATCAATGTGTATTGCTATCTTTCAGGATAACCCACTGAAGTGATCAATTAAGTTGGGTTAATTTGGTATTTAAATAAGTCATGGGGTTATATGTGCAGATACCAGGTTGTAATTGTGATTTGTTGAGGGGCCAAATTACAAAAGTACAACATCTATAAATAAGGGGTTATGGTCCCTAACCTAGGGTTACATTCTCTAATTCTCTTCACCCCCATCTAGAAAGAGAAATTCGGATTTAGAGGAACCCTAAGATTAGAAGATCATCAAAAAACCCAAATCAAGATTTCTTCAATGGATTCAGGTATAAGCTTCCACCCTTTTAGATTCTTGTTAATCTCTTCGAATTAATCATGGCTATATGGTTTTAGATCTCAAGTTTTATGATTCAGATCTAACATTTTTTCCCCAAACTCGTGCTTTTAAAGGAAGTATATGATGGAGTGCCTACATGAGTTTTTTTCTTTATATTTAAGTATATGATTATGAGATCTTTTACTTACATATAGTTATAATTTGATAAAAATTACAAAATATTTGATTATTAGAATTTTCTAATTATAAATAGTTTTAATTTGATAAGGATTCTTATATGAATAGAAGATTAGACGTCCACGTATTATTTTTTGATAGGTCAGAAGAACACATGAATACTTATGATATGATACATGTCAATTGTTTATGCCTTTATAATATGACACATCAATTTTTTGTGCCTTCAGAAGTTCCGTCAATTTCTCTTCATATATAAAGGAGGATTATACTATAGTAAATTATTTACCAAACAAAATAGATTAGTTAATTAGACTTAAATAAATATTATATTTTAATAAGGCGTTATGTCATTAATTATCCCACTTAAATTGTCTCGATCAAGTTTTAAATTATCCTATTATCCTAATATTCTCACTTTATCCCATTCATATTGTTCCAATTAAGTAAAATGATTTCACTAAAAAAATTATCCTACTTGGCCCCAAATTGTCCCAATGAATAACTCACTCTTAAATTCTTTAAAATTGACATTTTGCTACCATCAATCGTGCAAATTTAATTTTTTTTCACCAAAATGTTCCAATGTGACACTCACATGCTAGCTAATTCTAAGTGTCGTAATTCATATGAGAATATTCAAGTGAACAATTTTCACGACTATACAATAGAGAGTAGAAAAATGCCAATTTTAAACAACTTAAGATATAAGTGCAAAGTGAATGTAACTATGAGGCGTTCAAGTGCTATTTAGCTTTTTTTTTTAATAATGGAAACATTAATACATCGAATAAATTAAGGTTTGAACATAGAATGCTTACTAGTTTGCGGGTCCGTGTATTTTTTTTTGCTACAGTAATCTCGCTTTTTAATATGGCATGATTTGACTTTTTGAAAACGTTACAGTATCCCGCTCTGCTACAGTACCTTCTAAATACTACAGTATACCCGTGTGCTACAATAATTTTTTAATTAATTATTAACTACAGTAATAATGTTACGGTAAATACTACTGTAGCATGAACAGTGAATCAGTGATCCTCCTATTTGTATAAAAGAATAGATGTAAAAGTATGCAGTGAAATACTATACAACAGACCAAAGAGCGCAGTAACTTTTTCTCATAAAGATAACCTTTAGGATATGATAATTTAATAGAAACAATATTTCATTTTCAATTTATACATAACCATCTTTAAAATATTTTCCGCTGCAAACAACAACCTAAGTCCAATTTAAAGTCAAGTTTTTTCTTCCAATTTTACTACTATAATTTAATTATCAAATACCAAATATATTAAAGAGATGGTCCTCGATTGAGATTAGGTAGTGTCAATTACCTAAGGGGGGGTTAGTCACCTAGAACTTTTTAAGTAGAACTGGGATAATTGGCAAAGTGGGATAATTTTTTGACACTGGGATAATTTAGTGGAACAATGATGGGTAATTCTTAAAGTGGGATAATTTGATAGGATAATTTGGTGGGATAATGATGGATAATATTATAAAGTTGCATAATTTGGTAGGATAATTTGGTGGGGGTAATGGTGGGTATAAATTACTATTGTAAATAATTGTATATTAAAAATAATATAATATTGATAAGCAAATTCTAGTAATAACTATAAAATATAATGCAATAAAGCATCACTATTCATCTCAAATAATAAAATAATTTACAAATAAATAAAAATCTAAATCCCTAGAGTGACTCGACTTCCATCATCCCACATGGCTTCTATCATCCCACATGACTTCTATCATCCCACATGGCATCTGCCATAGAATTTCTCCAAGCTCCTACAGCTGCTCGTTGAGTCTGTAACTCGTCTTCTTTATCGGAGTCATCATATGCATCAGCAACATTTCGTGGAGCTTCTAGTGGAGGATCATAAATGTCGAAGTTCAAATCTCATAACATCATAAAGAACGAAAAATAAGCATTTTTCAGCCAGTAACCCTTTGGACCAATCTCATCATGATCGCTAAAACCAAATCAGCAAATAAATGAAATGTACACAGGAATCATCCATGGCCGCTAAACAGATGATCGACAGATGAACTATAAATATCTCAATCAATTTATTGAGCCGATTTAATAATAATAGATATCACCATTAACCATTCAACATCTAATCATCAATGTGATCGCAAAGTTGCTTTCTAACTTATAAAAAAAACATAAATAGCCCGCATATCTTTAGCACTAACCCACCAACACTATATTCTTAACCTAAACCACTGTTGTGGAGAGAAAACTTAGATCAAACAAATAATAATAAAGTAATTTAACGTCAAAAAGCTATCAATAAAGTAATACATCTTGAAGATAATAATAAAAGATCTAATCATCACAAAAACAAAGTAAAGACAGAAAAATGAACGGATGATTGACTTCATGGCAGAGAAATTTTCTAGGCGGAGAAACTAACCAAGAGGGAGGGAGGCGACGTTTCACTTTTTTTCCCCAATTGTATTCTTTCCAATGTGTGGGATAATTTGAGAGAGGAGAACTTATGGTTATATATATAGGTAGTATAATTTGTGGGATAATTATGACCAATTATCCCAATTCTAATTCTACTAGAATTCTATAAAAATCTAAATCCCTAGAGTGACTCGACTTCCATCATCCCACATGGCTTCTATCATCCCACATGACTTCTATCATCCCACATGGCATCTGCATCTGCCATAGAATTTCTCCAAGCTCCTACAGCTGCTCGTTGAGTCTGTAACTCGTCTTCTTTATCGGAATCATCATATGCATCAGCAACATTTCGTGGAGATTCTAGTGGAGGATCATAAATGTCGAAGTTCAAATCTCATAACATCATAAAGAACGAAAAATAAGCATTTTTCAGCCAGTAACCCTTTGGACCAATCTCATCATGATCGCTGAAACCAAATCAGCAAATAAATGAAATGTACACAGGAATCATCCATGGCCGCTAAACAGATGATCGACAGATGAACTATAAATATCTCAATCAATTTATTGAGCCGATTTAATAATAATAGATATCATCATTAACCATTCAACATCTAATCATCAATGTGATCGCAAAATTGCTTTCTAACTTATAAAAAAATATAAATAGCCCACATATCTTTAGCACTAACCCACCAACACTATATTCTTAACCTAAACCACTGTTGTGGAGAAAAAACTTAGATCAAACAAATAATAATAAAGTAATTTAACGTCAAAAAGTTATCAATAAAGTAATACATCTTGAAAATAATAATAAAATATCTAATCATCACAAAAACAAAGTAAAGACAGAAAAATGAACGGATGATTGACTTCATGGCAGAGAAATTTTCTAGACGGAGAAACTATCCAAGAGGGAGGGAGGCGACGTTTCACTTTTTTTCCCAATTGTATTCTTTCCAATGTGTGGGATAATTTGAGAGAGGAGAACTTATGGTTATATATATAGGTAGTATAATTTGTGGGATAATTATGACCAATTATCCCAATTCTAATTCTAGTAGAATTCTACTTGACTAACGCACCAAAAAAAATAATATAGTTCTAGTTCTACAAAAGTTCTACTTGACTAACACTATAAAAAAATATCTCATTTCCTAGTTCTATGTGACTAACACCTTAAAAATTTATCCCACAAATTATCCTAGTTCTAGTTTTAAGTTCTAGATGACTAACCCCCCCTAAGAAAACTTAACTAAAAAATAGGCTCTGGTGGTTGATTGCAACAAAAAACAATTTAAAAATAGTACATAAATTAAAAATAAAATGTGATCTATAGAACGACCTTACTTTAAAGATAGTTTCTATGGAAAAACCCTAACAATTACAAAGAGGTAAGGATTCGAAGAAAACATAACCTTAAACACACTTGGCAGATTATCATACACAATCATCAAAAAAGAGCCTAAAGGAACATAGAAAAGCAAGTCTCATGAAAAGTTGAAACATAGAAGAACTACAGCATTGAACATTTTGTTGTACATGCACACAGAAAAACTGAAGATAAATATTCCATACTACAATTTAAAGATCAAAGAAACCCTCTAAATAGGAGAAAGAAAAACTATTGTACAGACAGACTTGACTTAAAAACAAAAAGGAAGAGGAAAGATTTGGTACAATAAGCCTGCGGCAAGACCATCATCATATGCAAATGATCACCACCGTGACTTGAGCATTACCATGAGTATGAGACTTGCAAAGATTTAAGGCCATAATCATCAAAATCTACTCTTTGCCGTCCCCGTCAGACTCTTCCTTCGCGTTTTCATCATCCTCATCCCCGTCATCTTCATCATCTGTCATGTTGTTTATAACTTCTTCGATTATGTTCTTCACTTCAGCCTTTCTATCCATTAGGTCAGTGTTAAAGTGAGCCCCTGCAACAGTAACGTGAACACGCAAAAATTCATTCCATGAGCCATCTGACAAGCATTTGGCCACAACAATTGATTTCAATGTAACATGGTATCACACAGACGTGGGTGGCTCATGGTCTGAAGAAAATTCACAAATATTACTGCATGTTATAAGAATAGGATCTAGTTGGCATACAGTCTACTTAAGTGGTTGCAATTGGAAAAATTGTACTGCAACTATCCTATACCAACCAAAAGAGAAGAAAATCTAGCCGGATAACAATGACCTCCATAAAGAGATAGCAAAGAAAAATTCAACATTTAAGGTATTGCCGCTGGAAAGAATATAGATGGATATGATATATCAAACAGTAGACCAAAAAATAGAGTCACTAGATAATACAGCATTCAAACAGCTTACCTAACTGCTTAAGAATATCAGCCAAGGTTGCCTGCAATTGTTTTTTTAAAAAAATTATTCACTATCAATAAATTAAATCCAACGAAGAATAAACCAGGCCATTAATGTAAGAGTATTCAGCTGCTTACAGTGTTGAAATCCACTTCTTTAAGTATACTGGTGACCACAGAATGCAACTCTTCTGTGCTAGGCCCCGCCTTTTTCTTGCCTTTTCCTAGGATTCATGACAAACAATTTTCAGGAAAGATTGGATGAGTATAATGCCTTCAAAGATGATCGAAGTACATCACTGAATAGCTAAATGCAATAAGCCAGCTAAGTCACTTGATTCAGTGACCACAAGTCACATCCTCCAGTATCAGATGTCTCATGTTCTTTTTAAGCATGTCCCATTGGAGAGGGAACTCATTAGTTGTATAGTTTCAGGCTCATTATTAAAGAAAATGATACCACATTAAAATACAAAAGCTGCAATATACTAAAATGAATGCAATTATTCATAATCTCCTTGCTTTACAATAGGCTATTAAAGAAAAAGTAAAAAAACCAATATCAATCTATATTACAGTTCCAGATCAGTGATAGTATTTTGCTGGACAAACAATCTTCTTGCACAAAAGGGTATATTTGAGTTTTCCACAAGGCAGTCTCTTCATAGCTGCTGTAGTAAAGATTGATATTGGGACTGTAATATAGATTGATATTGGAATTTTTTCCCCAATAACAACCAAGAAACATGATTTCAAATAAAGATAAGGACAAGATTATCCCCGTATGTGTTTGAAGGAGAGAAGAATCAGAACGCCCATGATGACAAATTGATTCATTTTCTGAGTTATAAAGTCATTTTATTACCTTGTTCCTTGGTCGAAACCTTCGGCACAGGTTTAGCTTCTTTATTCTTCTTTGTCTTTTTGCCCCCTGGTAGTGCCTTCTCTTTCTTCTGGCTTTTCTTTTCATCTTCCCTTTTGGATTTGGAAGGTTTAGATGGGCCTGAATTACTACTATCTACAGAATCACTCATCCCTGAAGACTTCTTTTTATCCTCCTTTTTTATGGCAGCAGCCTTCTCCTTTGTTGCATCCTTTGAACTCTTCTTTTTCTGCTCTTTTACAGAACCATTTTTCTTATCTACAGCCACATCCGGTTCATCTTCTGCCGGCTGAGCAGCCTTCTTTGAAACAGGTTTCGAAGGGCTCTTACCAGATTTTACAGAAGAGGCTCTATTGATTTTTGAAGTCCTTCCTTTGTCTTTGGGCTCAGCAGCATCCTCTGGCTCGGTCTTATCAGATTCTTTAATGCTCAGCTGAGGTTCCTCTGATGGATGCTCTTCTTCTTCTTCGAGCTTATTATCATCACTTTCATCCAATCCATTCTTATCTTCCTCATCAGAGGATGTGTTTTTCACGTCATCTGAACCGTCAGAATCTTCATCTTTATCTTCCTCCGCAACTTCAGAAGACTGCTTCCGTCCCTTTTTATTTTCATTCTCGGTGCTCTTTTTATGTTTCTGTATGCCAAAAAAAATTTCTCAATAACTCTGAATAAACTTCACACTCAATGGAGGTCAAAATACACCGACAATGAGACACTGAATAAAATGTTTTAATTCTAACATGTTGAAAGCAATCATAAAGCGTTTAGTAATTCCTTGAAAAAAGCAAGTGATCATACTCTAAAATCTGAATAACAAACACTACAGTGTTTCTCAGTTTTCAGGAGTTTGACATAAACACTACAGAAGAAAAGAATGTAAAGGAAAAAATGGCATTGTTCATAGAAATGTTGGTCCACTAATCAAAGAACATTTACAGTGCATAAAGTGTAGAAATAACATAGAAATGTATGAAGTGAATATCAAGGAACTATATGATAGTACAATATTCTTGGATACTTCTTTTAATCTATTGCATTTCTTAATTTTATGAAAGCCATGTGGGATTTGCAATGCATTAAAAAATGCATGCCACTAAGGAAGGTAGGGCACCTAGAAAACCAATTATTGACCACAAAAGATTCCTTAAGCTTGAGCAAAATCAACCGATGACACACAAAAGAGAACGATAATCAAAGTACCAAACACATTGACACTTTATAGCATCACATGGAGCTAGTAGCTACGACCAACATGAAGCTGTAGTTGTGAAATAATGATTATAATGTTATATTAAGTAGTGCACGTGTGCACAAAAAAGTTGAATCTACATAAACTACATAAACTACAGACGTATTGGAGATTCAAACCTTGGATTCTTTGTTCGAAGATGCATCTTCAGTTGCTTCTCGACTAGCTTTTGTTCTTCTCCGGCGCTTTTGACCCTTCTAGAGAAAAGATGAATCTTATGATATGCTACTACTAAAGTAGATCACAGGACATACATATGAAAATCGGCAGAAAGATAACCTTTTCTTTGTCAGCAAGTATCAAATCTCTGGTGACATGTGGGGACTCTAGAAACTCAAGTAACTTTGCAGAGACATCCTCCTGAAATAATAGACACATGGTAAAGCAGTTTGCCAATTTTTAAAAATGCCTAGAAGATGAAGTTCATCAAGTTATTGGAAATGGACCTTCTTGGTACTAGTTCTTGGAAAATGGATATCAAGCAGCTCACAGAAATCAATCAACTTGTCTTTGGTATGCTTATCAAGCTTTTCCTTCACTTTTGCCTTATTTTTTTCCTGCAGGAAGACATTATTGTCAGAACAATAAACAAGCTGAAGAACAGACCAAACTTATTAAAGGAACACATTAACCAGTTTGAGAAAAGTGAACCGTAAATATGCTCAAGGAAATGTAATACTCATATGAGGAAAACACCATGATGTCTAACATTTAACCATGACTCAACTACCAAATAACCAGAAGTTTGTAAAATTTAAATTGACAAACAAAAGTATAACAAGTTCATAAAAGAGTAAGTAATTTAGATACCTTGTTTTCAGTCCAAACAAACCCAGAGAACTGGAGGATATTCCTTTTCAAATAATGTGCCTGGCAAAGAGGTAAAAAAAAGTTGATTATCCAGACAGACAGAGCAAGTGATACAGTGAATTGCACTTGCATGCACAAAAAAGAGGTAATGTCCAAAAGCATTACATTTGATTTTCTTCCAAAAAGAATTGTATGAAGAACTTGCAAATTCTCATCACCCTTTCTTTTTGATAGCTTGAACGCCACTGGAATAGTTGACAAGTAAAAAACAAAAGAGCATAACTGTAAGCAACAAAAAACATTACAAGTAGTGCATGAAATATGAATGATCTAAACCATCTACCCTCGAGTAAAAACTAGAAAAGGGTAAAAGAAAAGATACTGCAGTAGAGCAGCTCTCTTCTACTGGAGTTTGATAGCAATTGTGCTTAAATAAAATGACAAATCCATATGACTAGTACCTTGAAAGGCTAGATTTCTAAATATGTGCTACTTCCTAAGGCAGGCTGTCAGCACTTACACCACTAGAAAGCATGTCGCCTAATTAAACTAGAATAATCACATAAGACCTCGTCTATTTGTTCTCAGAAAAATAAGCAATATACACACTGTTTTAAAAAGCCTCCGCCTGGTCCGCCTAGGCCTAGGCGGTACCTAGACCGCCTAACTAGCGTCTCTAATGTCTAGGCGGTACCTAGGATGTCTACCTAGGTTTTGAGAGTGTTTAGGGGAGCATTGTCTGCTTATGTGGATTGCACTCTTTAGGCCTTGATCGTGACTTTCTGTGTTGCAGCCTCCACGTCCTCCAACCTACTTCAAACTCTTTTAACCTCTAAATATGAACACATCCACTACCTTCTCTGACCTTCAGCAAAACCTCCTCGACCACCACTTAAATGAAAAAATAAATATGCCTAGACACCAGTCCGACACCTAAGCTTTCTATAACATGGACATGTAATATTAATTATTGTAATTAAAAAATAAAAAAAACTCCTAGGCTATAGGCGTTGGGTCCAACGCCTAGGCCTCCTAATGCTTTCTATATCCTTATTATTTTGGTTATTTAGTATTTAAGTTTGCATGTTTTATTGTGGATCTAAGATTGCTATCTTTTTTTTACAAATTTATATAAATTTAATGCATATTTTTATCAATCACTATAATTAAATAATTTTAAAAATTGCCAAACACCTAAGCGCCACCTAGGCGTTTAGGCGCTGACTCAAACGTCTAGTCCACCTAGCGCTTTCTGTAACATTAAATATACATAGGATCAACTTGGTAGAAGTTCAGAATGGATCCAAATATTTTGCATAAAAAACAAAGGGGTATTCAGGTTGCAAAATAAAAAGAATTATACCACAGGATCTCTGTTTTATTTTCAATTTGATGCTTGAGATATGTATACCAGAATAAACTAAAAAAGAAGGATCAGTATCCTCTCCACTTAGGTCATAAACGGAGAGCGTCATATTACTTCAACCCTTCCCATTTATTCCAAATTCAAGGGCTGAGATGAACTCACATAGGAGTCTAAATATTATCTTGAAAACCACTATGATCTTTAAAACCACTATTGTGAAAAGCAGGATTGTGGTAGTGTGAATCCTGTGTGGCTTCGTTTCAACCACTAAAATTAGAATAAAGGGATATGATTGGGATAATTGGACACTCTCCAATTACCATCTAATTCGAGATGATCCAAACCCCAAAAGAAATAGATACAGATTACTGCTAAGTCACTGCATCATGTAGCATGTTGTCATAGTTGTCTACCTTAGTGCTGCTGGCCTGACAAGCTAAACAAAAAAAGGAGCACGAGAAAAGGAAATAAGAAGGAGATGCGCATTGATAACTAAATCATGAAAGCTATCAGGCCAAAAATACTTGTATATATATAACTAATCAATCTAAGAACAACAAATATACTATATGAAGCACCTCAATCAATAGCCATTATCCAAGACAGGAAGAAAAGCAGAAGAATTTGAACTAATTACAGAATTACCATCTCTCCATGGGTTGCCAAACTCTCATTACTTAAATTTTGTGAAGAAAAGTGGGACAGAGTTTGTTGGAATGATAAAAACAATAGGGAGTTTCTTCTTTCCCTTCAAGATTTATCATAATAATTGGAACTGACTACAAAATTACTATCTCTCCATGGGTTACCAAACTCTCATTACTTAAATTTTGTGAAGGAAAGTGGGACAGAGTTTGTTGGAATGGTAAAAACAATAGGGAGCTTCTTCTTTCCCTTAAAGATTTATCAGAATAATTTGAATTGATTACAGAACTACCATCTCTCCATCGGTTGCCAAACTCTTATTACTTAAATTTTGCAAAGGAAAATGTGACAGATTTTGTTGGCATGGCAAAAACACTAGCAGCCTAGTTGGTGACCAATATTTCATTTTATATATTGTATTTGGTCCAATTCTATTGTTTGAATTCAAATATATTTGAATATCAGATATTGACCCAAATCCATTAACTTTGTAAACCCACAATATACCCAAAATTCTAAATCCCACCATATACCCTGTCATTTACAATTCCAATGTTTCTTTTCTCGACCCGCGATCTCTCTCTCCCAACTT